AAACAAAAAACGATTGGACTGAACTAAAGAATAGGAAGAAATACATTGTGATTGTGTCTGGATATTGTTTACTGGTTTCCTGCCTTCTTTAGAATGTTATCTTCATGGCAGCGGGCACTGTGCCAGCCTCATTCACTTCTGTTCCCCAGTGTCCAGCAGAGTGCTTGGCACACACTAGGCCCTCAAAAAGTGTTTACTGAATTAAAAATTAGGGGTTGAATGAATGCACAGAAACACTTTGAGGTGGGAACAAAATAAGAATGCCACTTTTGCCCCAGTATGTCTTAACCCTGTTCTGAAAGGGTTAGGCAGTGCAGTAAAGAAAAATAAATGAAGTAGAACCATTGGGGGAAAAAAAGAGACAACTATAACTATTTGTAGGTAGTGTATCTAAAAAATCATAATTAGAAAAATTATTGGAGCCAACATGAGTAATGTATGAACTCAAGACAAAAAAGTCAGTAGCTTCCATGTGCACCAACAATAATCAGAATATACAGTGTAACAGAAGGAAAACAGTGAAAAGAAAATACGCTTCCCAGATGGAGGAGAGGGATGAGTGCTAATGAGAAACCCTGTACCAGGACAGTCTTCTGGAGGAGGAAGGGGTTTTGATATTTCCCCTGGCCTGGGGTCTCCCCATCATTGCAGCAGCTCAATGTTATCTTTATGAGTGATGCAGGGAACAGAGAGACTGAAGCTGGATGGAACTCCCTCTAACTATCCACTCCCTGCTCTGGGCCCTAGGGGACTTCAGGGGCTGGCGCTGGCATCTTCCCCTTTGCCCTTAGGATGAAGCCCAAGCTTCTATGCATAGCTTGTATGGTTCTGATAAATGGACCCTGGAACCACATCTACCTGAGCAGAGATCTGCTGGAGATCTAGATATGAGTGGAGAAGTCATCAGCCTGAGCTGCACTGCCCCAGGAGGGGGTCGTTGTGCAGGGAGAGAAGCCAGGGAGGAGTCTTGAGGAGCCACTTCTTGGGGAGGAAGAGGAAGCAGGGCCTGCAAAAGACCCCAAGAAGAGGCAGGACAAGTTGCAGGAAGAAACTGAGGGCACAAGGGGTGAACCTTTGAAGATGCCAGCAAGAGTTCAGCTGAGACAAGGACCACAGGGACCCCTACTTTTAACTCCATGGTATTCTATGGTAACTTTGGCAAAAGCCGTTTTGGCAGTGAGGTGCTAGACAACAAGGCAATGGAGCCTGAGAGGGTGAGAGTTTGACGGGGTGGTGGGGTGGTGGGAGGGGTGACAGAAGGACCAGGGGTGGGAGGCCCAAAGCTATCTAAAGAGGAGGGAACCTGGAAAGGCCACAGTGGGAAATGTGAGGGGTCTTCTGGGTAGTGTGAGCACCCTATGGGGGGAGGCACCAGTGCCCCAAATGAGGACCAAGTCAGGAGTGGGGTGGGCGGGAGGCAGAGAAGCCTTTCAGCCAGTCTGTGTAGTCTGTAATCGGCCTCAGCATCGCCATTTCTGTGCAGGCCCTCGACTCCAACTGCCAGCCCCTGAGACTCTGCCTGGAGCTGCTCTCTGTGGTCACAGAAGGGCTCTGCCCATACCCTGGGTGGGCTAGAAGTCAGGCAGGCTAGGGAACTAAGGCCCCAAAACAGCTCTCAAAGTAGCCCCGGTGGTGCAGTGGTTAAGAGCTCAGGCTGCTAACCAAAAGGTCAGCAGTTCGAATCCAGCAGCCACTCCTTGGAAACCCTATGGGGCAATTCTACTCTGCCCTATAGGGTCACTATGAGTCAGAATCAACTTGACGGCAACAGGCAAACAGCTCTCAAAGGAGCCCTGGTGGCACAATGGTTAAAGCGCTTGGCTGCTAACCAAAAGGTCGGTGGTTCGAACCCACCAGTCATTCCGTGGAAGAAAGATGTGGCAGTCTGCTTCCATAAAGATTATAGCCTTGGAAACCCTATGGGGCAGTTCTACTCTGTCCTGTAGGGTTGCTATGAGTTGAAATCGACTCAGTGGCCGTGGGTATAAACACCTCTCAACTCCTGCCTGATGGGGATTTGAGAATTAGTACTTCAGCTTCCCTTACTCTTGTTGTTAGTTGCAGTAGAGTCGGCTCTGACTCGTGACGACCTTATGTATAACAAAAAAAACATTGCTTGATTCTGCACCATCTTCATAATCATCGACATATTCAAGTCCATTGCTGCAGCTACTGTGACAATCCATCTCATTGAGGGCCTCCCTTGTCCTCATTGGCCCTCTACTTTACCAAACATGATGTCCTCGTCCAGTAACTGGTCTTTCCTGATGATGCATCCAAAGCAAGCAAGTTGGACAATGTTCTGTTGTGATCCATAAGGTTTTCATTGGCTAATTTTCAGAAGTAGCTCACCAGGCTTTTCTTCCTAGTCTGTCTTTGTCTGGAAGCTCTGCTGAAACCTGTCCACAGTGGGTGACCCTGCTGGTATTTGAAATACTGGTGGTATAGCTTCCAGCTTCATAGCAACATGCAAGCCACTACAGTATGACAAACTGACAGACGGGTGGTGGCCTTGCTCTTAGGAGGAGCAACAGCACAAGGCCCATGTTCTACACTGGCTTCCAGAGCCCCCAGCAGGATTTGGCCCTGGTTGCCTACAGTGGTAATTTGCTCTCCTTGCCACTCCTCTGCTGGTACTTCCTGGCCTCACCTTCCGCATTAACTACATACACTTGCATCTTTATCTCCAGGTCTGCTTCTGGGGAAACCAAGACTGAGACCCTGTCCATAAAATAAGGACAAGGCAGTGAACAGGCACAGACAACTGCAAGGACTTCTTCTGACAGGTGACCACTGACCTGTACTAATAGGCCCCCAGGTCGCTGACTTGGCAGGGACATTGGGCCAGGGGCCAGGCATGAGGTAGGCAGGCCCCTGCCACAGCAACTTGTTCTTGCCTGACCCCAGAGTTGGCTACAGGCAGGCTCAGGACTCTGAGGATGGATAATCACAATGTACCTTAAAGTCCCAGAGGATGAGGTCAGGGTGACCTGCCTGGGCGGTCCCCTGGCTTCTGACTCTTCAAGCTCATTCCCTGCTCAGGGCTAACCGCCCTCCCCCATCCCCCGCCCCATGCATACCCCTCCCCTCCTTGTCTCCACTCCCCTATCCTTCTGTTCTCCCGCCCAGGCCTGTGGAAGAGCCTGTCAGGCGCTGAAGCCGACTCTGCTCTCCCACCGTCACCTGGCTCAACGTACACAAAAGGACCTTCTCTTCCCTGCTCGCTGCCGGGTGAAGGGCGTCCCAGTCCGCCGCCCCCGCCAGAGGACCAGGCCACGCCCCGAGCGGCCCCTAGGGGGCGCCGCCGCGAAACCCACCAGTCGGCTCCTCGGAACTCAGTGGGCGGGTGCGGGCTGCTAAGCCCCCAGGTTCGGCCGGTTGACCCCGCCCGCGGCTGGCGCTGCCAGGCTGGGTCCGAAGAGGCCCCACCGTACACGTGTTGCGCGGCTCCCCGCTGCCTCATTTCTCCCCGCGCCGGATCCTAAATTCCGGGCAGGCCTAGTGTCCACATGTCCATCTGTCTGTCCACCCGTCGGCGTGTGACCGTTGGTCCGCGCACCCTTCTCTGGCCGCGGCAGGCGCAGGGTTAAGGTGTGGGGGAAGCAGGTTTCCCCGAGTCTCGACGGGGGGGCGAGGGGCGGACCCGGCCCAGCCCCGCCCCGCCCCGCTCCGGAGCCGAGCTGGAGTCCGGCCTCAGACCCAGTCGGAGCCCGAGCCAGCGCCAGTGGAGCCAGGACGGCGGACCCTGCACCCCGGCAGCGCCGGCGCCCCGACTGGTGAGTCCCGCGGCAGCCGCGTTCGGGGAAGTTTGGGACGCGAGGCTCTGAGCCCCAAGCGCACTCGCCTGGACCAGCCCCTCCTCGAACAGGATGCGAAGTTTGGGGTCAGGAGGCCCTCTAGCTGGGGGTCCCAGGAGTATGGCCTCCGCGGGAAAGAGAAAGGTGGGGAACTTGAGGATCTGCGATGGGGGACCCAGAAGTCTAGCTCCTCATTCCTGCTGGGACCTTAGAGTCCAGTGCTTCTGGACACCAGGGAGTCTGGCCTCTGGGGGAGGGTAATGGGCAAACCCCTAAGGGTGGACCTCAAGGGGAGTGTGTGGACCCTTGCACCCTGTCCCCTAGTCTCAAACACCCCAGATTCTGGCCTTTTGATGGTGGGAATGGGTGAACCCTGTGGAATGGCCCTCAAGGGTGTTGTAAGGATACACTGGTGTTTGGCTCCTGGTAGCAGGTGGAGGACCCTAATGGCTGGATCCCAGGTTGCCCCAGGGAACACTGAAAGCCAGTGAGAAGGAGAGTGCCATTAACCCTTCCCTCATGCAGGGCTTGGGTGAGTGTTGTTGAGAGGAAGGGGAGGGGGCTAGCATAGAGAGTCCTGTCCCCGCCACCTGCCCGTCCCAGTTACCTCACCTCCCACCTAGACCCAGACTTGGCCACAGAGCTCCTTAGTGAGGGCAGAGGGCAGGGAGGAGATTCCTTTATGTCCCATAGGAAGAAAGAACCTGCCTGGGCCTGTCCTCCTTTCCACTGCAGGAGGGCCTCCATGGTGATGTGCTAGCCAGAGGAGGTGGATCCTTGTCCTGCTTTTCCCACCAGTGACTTTGGACCAGCCCTGCTCCCAGGTTGTTGTTGTTGTTAGGTGCCATCGAGTTGGTTCCGACCCATAGCGACCCTGTGTATGACAGAACGAAACACTGCCCGGTCCTGTGCCATCCTCATAATCGTTATTACGCTTAAGCCTATTGTTGAAGCCAGTGCGTCAATCCATCTCATTGAGGGTCTTCCTTGCTTCCAGGTACAGGCTTCTTATCTGTTCCATGAAAGACTGGTCAGTGGCCCTGACCCTGTGTTTTCCCTCTCCTCCAGGTAAAGGCAAGGTCTCTGGATTGGCCAGGCGACCCCCTTGAAGCCCTAGCAGAGTCGAGATGAGGCCCCATCATGCCCCCTAGTGAGGCCTGAAGCCTGATCAGATAGCATGGCCTGCCGTTGGCGGTGAACACCATGGCTGCAAGTGGTGGCCGGGCCTTTGCTTGGCAGGTGTTCCCTCCTATGCCCACCTGCCGGGTTTACGGCACTGTGGCACACCAAGATGGGCACCTGCTGGTGTTGGGGGGCTGTGGCCGGGCTGGACTTCCCCTAGACACTACTGAGGCACTGGATATGGCCTCACACACATGGCTGGCACTGGCGCCTCTGCCCACTGCCCGGGCTGGCGCTGCTGCCGTTGTGCTGGGCAAGCAGGTGCTAATGGTGGGTGGCGTGGATGAGGGCCAGAGCCCAGTAGCTGCTGTGGAAGCATTCCTGGCTGATGAGGGCCGCTGGGAGCGCCGGGCCACCCTCCCTCAGGCAGCCATGGGAGTTTCGACTGTGGAGAGAGGTGAGTGGCCCTACCCTGGGCTTGGGGACTGGGGCACACTTGGCCAGACTCCCAAGGAAGATCCCTCAGGGACCCCAATGTTCTTCCTTCTTTCCTGACTTGATCCCTTACCTTCAAAGATTAGACAAGAACTGTAATTTTTGCCTGGGTGCCCTGGACGTAGCTTTGCTTCCTGTCCCCTTCCAACTCAGCTTTGAGCTGGGCCTGCAGCAGCCTTCTCTTGACTGCCTTTTCTGGCTCTGAGGTGGAGGGCGGAGCCCAGCTGGCCCCCAGAATGATGGGAGGCCCCAGACACTTCCCAGCCCCATTCCTCATCCCTAGGAGACAAGGGGGTTATAAATAGTCCAGGAAAGGGGGAGGGTAACAGTGCCCAGCAAAGGCTCAGACTGCCCCCCACCCCAACACCTCCCGTGATCCTGAGGTGGACCAAGGCCAAGCTAGCAGAGGGACAGTTGCAATGGAAGCCCCTGGCTGCGTCCGCAGCTGACCCCGAGGGCCTAAACACAGGGCAAGAACTACTCTAATGAAAGGGCATGGTACAGAGGCGCTGTCAGGGTTCCGGGGGCAGAAGGCTTGTGGCTAGAACCTCCCCCACTCTGCAGGTGCCTACCCAAGCCCAAGCCCCTCTCCCAGTCTCCCCCATGTTCATCCCCAGAGCCTCCTTCTGAGACCTCAGTATGCCCTACATCTATGACTTAAACCACCCCCTCCTCCCAGGGGAGCCCCCACCTTGTGGCCTCCAGGTCTGACCACGGGGTCCAGGCCAGCCCTGCTTGGATGCCAGGCTTGGTTGCCATAGTGTCTCCAGGGAGACCGAGCCAGATTATAATTAGATCGTCTGCCTCCTGCTCTTCACTTGGAGGGGCCTTGGCTAGAGCGGGAATCCCAGCTCTCCCAGCCCCCACACCAGTAGAGCAGCAGGTCCTCTGCTTCTGGGGAGGGATGTTGTGAACAACTGGATCCCTGGCCTGGCCAGGGAGGCTGTCAGAGTGGGGGTGCCCTGGCCAGGCCTGGGGTGCAGTCTGAACCCCTCTTTTTTATGCAGATGGTATGGTGTATGCTCTGGGGGGAATGGGCCCTGACACGGCCCCCCAGGCCCAGGTACGGGTATATGAGCCCCGCCGGGACTGCTGGCTTTCGCTACCCTCCATGCCCACACCCTGCTACGGGGCCTCCACCTTCCTGCACGGGAACAAGATCTATGTCCTGGGTAAGGGCCTGGGGGTCGTGGGAAAGGGGCTCAGAGCCCAGAAGTCGCCATCCTCATGGGTTGGCTGGGGTAGGGGTGAGGTTCAGTTTGGGATGGCAGGACAAGAGAAACTCTGTTAGGGTGAGCCAGGCCTGCTCTGAGGCCCTGAACTCTGGTGGCCCTGCTGGGGTTGGAAAACCAAACCCCAGTGCCTGAGGGTCTACAGGGTGGATGAGCCATACTCAGGTGTGCACACAGCTGTGTGTGGGAGGGTGGGGAGGACAATGTTGAAGCCTTAGCAACCTGGCAAGTGAGGAGCCCTCCAGGTCCGCTACCCTGGCCTCTCTCCCAGGTGCCCCAATTTCTTTGGCAGGAGGCCGTCAAGGCAAGCTCCCAGTGACTGCTTTTGAGGCCTTTGACCTGGAGGCCCGTACCTGGACCCGGCACCCAAGCCTGCCCAGTCGCCGGGCCTTTGCTGGCTGTGCCATGGCTGAAGGCAGTGTCTTTAGTTTGGGCGGCCTGCAGCAGCCGGGGCCCCACAATTTCTACTCGCGTCCACACTTTGTCAACACTGTGGAGATGTTCGACCTGGAGCATGGTGAGCAGCGACTGGCCTGGGCTATCCTCCCACTCCGTATGGGATGGAGGGGTACAGTGTATGGGGGCTAGATCTGATCTCCCCTTTCCTGCAGGGTCCTGGACCAAGCTGCCCCGCAGCCTGCGTATGCGAGATAAGAGGGCCGACTTTGTGGTCGGCTCCCTCGGGGGCCACATTGTGGCTATCGGGGGACTTGGTGAGTCTCTGTGGGGATGAGGTAGAAGGGAGCCCCCGATTCAGGAGGGCGTAGTCCGCAGCTTGAGCACCACCTCCTTCCCTTCTCTAGACACTCCAGAGGTCAGGGCTTTGCTAGCTGCCCTATCCAGGAAGCAGGTAGGGTATGATCTGCCAGGCTCAGACTCAGGTGTCCCCCAGCCTGATGCGGGGGTCTCACGACCAGGGGCCTAGGGGGCAGGAGCTGACCTGTCTGCTGACTGCACAGCCACGTGGGCAAATAGAAACATGAATGGATGAAGAAATGACAAATGGGGGCAATGAGAAGCAAGGCATTGAGAGCCCATCCTAGGGTGAGGCCTTCTGGGAACATCCTCTGGCTGGAGGAGCAAAAGGGCCTAGAGCTCCTGCAGCCTGTGCACCTTACAACTTGCCATCTCCTTCCTGCAGGAAACCAGCCGTGCCCTCTGGGCTCTGTGGAGGGCTTCAGCCTTGCACGGCGGCGCTGGGAAGCACTGCCCACCATGCCCACCGCCCGCTGCTCCTGCTCCAGCCTACAGACTGGGCCTCGACTATTTGTTATTGGGGGTGTGGCCCAGGGCCCCAGCCAAGCCGTGGAGGCACTGTGCCTGCGTTAGGTGGTCTGAAGGCCCTATGGGACCTGTCCTCCAGGGCAGCTCAGTGCCAGAGACAGAAGTCTGTGGCTCCTTTTGCTGCTGAGGAAACTCACTGTGGCTCTGTGAGATGAGGGAGGCACAGGGGTGGCACTTGAGGCACTGCCTCAGGGACTGGGGGGGGCCTGTCTCTTTAGCTCGTGATACACATATGCTCACACCCACCTTTGCCACCACTCATTCACTGACAATGCCTAGCTCCGCCCTTGCCCTAGAGCCTACCGTACTCTCTGTCCAGCTGGCCTCATACCCTGCAGGGTCAGTGCCTACCTGGAGTGGACCAGGCTCACCTCGAAGGCTGCTCCTGAAAAATCCCAGCCAGCCTGCCCTGAGGGCCCCTGTAGAGCTAGAAGAGTCCAGAGAGGGTGGGGGACACAGAGGGAATGGAAAAGAGGATATGGGAACTGCCAGAGGGCCGGAGGAATGCCGGCTTTGGCCCCTCTCCACTGCTGGCTGTGTGACCTTTGGCAAATCATTTCACCTCTCTGTGCCTCAGCATCCTCATCTGTAAATGGGGATCTCTGAAACCTTCCTGCCCTACCTACCTCACAGGGCTGTTGTGAGGACCCAGGGAGTTCAGATGTGGAAGTAAAACTGCTGCTAAAATCTGGTGTGTGGTCCCTCGTGTGGACTCCCACGTTGCTCACGCAGTCCCTGGCCCTGTTTCAGTGGCCTCAGCTCTCCCAGGAATGAGGGTCCAGAAGGAACCTCATGGATCTGACATGTGCCACCAAAGTGATCTGGTGCCTTAGCACCGTGTAGATCCCGACTTATTCTTTGGTGATGGGGGTTGATGACCCTTCCTCACTGTCTTGGGTGTTAGGGGCCACTCACATGACAGTGAGAGAAGAGCTCAGAAAGAAAGAAACAAAAAAAACCACCACAAGCCAGGATCACGACGACCTCCAGGTCCACGTCACCTAGCATCTCTCCAAGGTCACTGCTCGCCTCCATAGGGAGGAGTGGTCCAATGGGGGCTTTGGCCAGGGGCCAGGATTTTGCTAGCTGCCATATCCAGTAACAGGCAGGGTATAGTTTGCCTGTCCCAATTGTGAGGGAGCCATCTCTTGGGCAGGACTATGTGGCCACCCACCAGACTCCTTGAGGGCGGCAGCCTCCTGGAGGAAGCTCCCAGCCCTGACTTCTTTCTCCAGCCTTTGCTGCCCACCAGCAGACGCCTCTGGTACTGCTTTCCCTGAACCTGCTCTGAGGTCAAGGGGCTCACAGCTGGGGTTACTGCAGAAACTGGAGAGTATTTGGAGCCCTGGCATCCACCTGCTGTGCCATGGTAACCCTCTTGGGCCCTCTGTCTCCTGCAGGCTTCAGTCCCTCTTGCTCAGCAGCAGGACTCCCAAGGCAGCACCCTCCCCTGCCCAGCACACAGGCCCCATGGGAGCCAATCGCAGGGCACCTTGGACCTCCTGGGCTACAAACACAGACAGGTCGCTGTATCAGCCATTCTTATTTAATGCTCTGGACCAGTTGAGACACTCAGAGACCCCAGCATGAAGGTAGTGCTGCAGCAGCTTGGGTCTTGGGGGCCCCAGGAGGTCAGGCAGTGAGTTGGTGACCGGGGCCTCGGGCCCCACCTTGTCGCTGCTATAGTGACTGCCCCAGGATGTCTGGCAGAAGTTCTGCTGGTAGGTGGTGCTGGCACGGGCAGGTTGGACCTGCACAAAGTGGACGAGGCGCTGGGGGAGGCCACCAAGTCCTGGGCCTGACCGAAAATCAGACTGATAGGAAGATTCAAGGGGCCGCTGGTACAACTCCAGCTCACAGGGTGCCCAGCGCAGGAAGTTGTGTCGCTGCCATAGGCGCTCCAGGTCTTTTCGTCTCCCGATGCCCTGCAGCAGGCAGTAGGGGCCCTCCTCAACGGTACGGGCCCTTGGCCCACAGTCCTGGTGCCAGGCACCTTTTTGGGCCCCAGCTGAACCCAAGCCTGCCTGGTGATACCCAGCCTGTACCTGGCCTCCTTGATCTGCCTCCCCAACCATGCCTTCCATTCTAGGGTGAAGCCCCCAAGAGTCAGTGGCCCCGGGATATTTGCACATTGTCAGGCAAGCTGGCAGGGGAAACCAAAGCAGAGATGCCTCCATTTGGGGAATGGGCTGTTTCTGAGGAGAGAGGTTGTTGGGAAGACAGGCACCCCTATACCTGTGTAAGGAGCCCTCCCAATGTCTTACCCCTTCACCCTATCCCCTGATCTATGCTCATATAGATCCCCTGATTTATCACCCTAAGCTGGGGGGGCCTGCCTGCTCCCCTTCCTGTCTCCATCACTCACTTTGTCGAAGGAAGTACGATTGTCGTGCTTGGAGAAGAAGTGTTGCTGCGCTGGCTCCTTGAAAGACAGTGAGAAAGAAGGTGAATGGGAAAAATGACGCTCACCTGCCCCCCAATATTATCTCAGGGCCCAGTAATGGAGGAGAGCTGCCACTCTTTTTTTTTTATTATTGTGTGAAAATATACAGGTAGTCCCCAAGTTATGACAGGGTTCCATTCCAACAACTCCATCATTAATTTGGTTCTGATGTAAGCTGAGTATCTCTTTTTTATTTCCATTATTATTGCCTTATAAATCTGATCTTTTTTTGTTTTGGGGGGTTGGCATGAGAACGATAACGTCAGCAAATTACACGCTGTAACATTGTATGTAGTACATATTACTAACAATAAGATGTACAAAAAAAAAAGGCCAGTCGTTAAGTGTGGCTCATCATAACTTGAATACATCATAAGTTGGGGACTACCTGTATACACCAAAACATTTACCAATACGACAACTTTCACATTTACAATTCAATGACATTTTTCATGTTGTACCACTATTACTGCTATCCTTTTCTAAAATATTCCATCATCGTTAACAGAGGAAGGTGAGAGAGAGTCATGCATAATGTTTTCAAGGTTCATCCATGTCGTGGCATGAGTCAGAACTTCATTTCTCCTTATGGCTGCCTAATATTCCACTGTGCGTCTATTCCACATTTTGTTTATCCATTCGTCTGTTGACGGACATTTTGGTTGTTCCCACCTTTGGGCTATTGTGAAAAGTGCTGCAATGAACATTGGTGTACAGGTTTCTGTTTGTGTTCCTGCCTTCACTTTTGGGTATATATATTGGATTGGAATTGCTGGGTCATATGGTAGTTCTATGTTCAACAGAAGCCTCTGGGGCCACTGACTAAAGAGGGGGCTGAGGCATCTTCTAGGACTTCCTGTCAGCAGCGGGCAGTGGTTCAGATTTCACGCTGGGCCCTTTAACTCTGGATTTCCCAGGTCTCGGGCTTCAGTCCTGTCCTCCCTTCTGTGCACATTCACCCCTCCCTCATCAGCATACCCAGGCTCTTGGCCTTAAATGCCATCTAGAAACTGAAATATCTGTCTCTAGCCCAAGATCTTCTGAACTCCAGCCTCAATAGCCACCTGCCTGTTTTATATTTCCATGTAGATGTCCAACGGGTGTCTCCAAACACAACTGAACTCTGGATCATCCCCCAAACCCACCCCGTATACAGCCTCCCTCAGCTCAATCATGGCAAACTCGATTCCATCAAACGCTTTGGAGTGCCCCTTGATTCTTTTCTCTCAAACTCCACATCCAATATGCCAGGAAATCCTGTTGATGCTTCCTTCAAAATGTACCCAGAATCAGACCACTCCTCACCATATCCACTGCTTCCCCTGGTCCAAGCCTGAATTATTGCAAGAGCCTCCTGCCTGGTAACCCTGCTTCAAAGCTTACCCCTGCACAGCCTATTGTCCTCTTACCAGCCAGAAAAATTCTTTTAATATATAAATCCCGTCACATCCGTTGTTTGCTGAGAATCCACAGCAGTTCCTCATGTTTGTAAAAGCCGAAGTCATCATAGTGACCCATGAGATTCACATGATACAAGGCCCATTGTTAACTCTAGCCATGCTGGCCTCCTTGCTGCTCCTCAAATACATCAGGTGCTTCCACCTCAGGCCTTGGTGCCACCTGCTCCTTCTGCCTGAATCTCTTCCGCCAGCTGGCCACGTGACTCTCTCTCACCTTCCTCTTGGGAGGCCTTCCTTGAGCACTACACCAACAGTCCCATTGCTCCAACTCTTTTATGTTTGTCCCATAGCATTTACAACCTTCTAACATACTACAGGAAAACCTACGAAAGCCAGAACCTGTGTAAGGTGGAAACCTGTCAGAGAAGGAAAACTCAAATATTTTCCACTAAAATTAGAGATGGAAAAGTGATAAGACTGCACCGTGTCAAAAGCAGAAAACTTGTGAGACCTGGAAAAACAGAGCAGTCTTGTCAAGTTCTGGCTCTTACAGATTTCACTGTATATGATTATACTGTATATCATGATGTTGCTTATCATCTGACGCCCCCCAGTAGAGCATAGGCTCCTCATGGGCAGAAGTTGTTGCCTGTCTTGCTCACATCTGTAACTCCAGCACTGAGAACAGTGCTGGCACTGTAATCAATAACTGTTTACTATTAAATCAACGAAGAGGGTCAGAAGGTCTTGGCCCCAGGGCATTTCCTTTGGCCCAATTAGGGCCAGAGAGCCATGCCCCACCCGCGGGCAGAAAAAGCCCACCCCTCAGGCCTCCAGACCTCGGGAGGAATCTCTCCCAAGACCATCCTTTTCCTTTTGTGCCTGGTGTCTGTCCCGAAAGCCATCCCCTCATCAGCCACTCAGCATCTCTTGCTACAGACTCCAGTAGCCTGATTCTAGAGCTCATTGTATCTGATGAATTCAGGATTGACTAGGTTGGATGCATGAGCATTGGCCAACAGCAGACTCCAGATAAAACGCAGGAACTGACCCCATTCCAGACTCCTGAACCAGAATCTCCAGGGTGGGGTCTGTGGTACGTGTCCTTGACAAGCTCCCTTCTTGGGACCTCCTGCCTTAGACAGCCTGTGGTGGTCTCCAGTCAGAAGAAAAGCTTCCAGAAATATGGGAGCCTTGTGAGAAGCTGACCAGCCTTAACTTTTCATTTCTCATAAAGCAAGCTGACATAATGGGGACTAAAAACCCTAGGGCCCTTTTAGAAAAAACATAGGAAAAAATCTTCAGTACCAAGAGCTAGGCAAAGCATTCTTAGACTTGACACCATAAATAAGAGCCATAAAAAAAAAAAAAATGATAAATTGGACCTCATCAAAATTAAAAATTTTTGCTCTATGAAAACACATGTGAAGCGGAAGAAACGACAAGCTACAAAGACTGTGAGAAAATATTAGCAAACCACATAATCTGACAAAGGAGTAGTACCTAGAATATATAAAGAACTCTCAAAATTCAACAGTAAAGTAATAAATAATCCAATAAGAAAATGGGCAAACCACACAAACAGACTTTTTCACAGATAAGGATGTACAGATGGCAAATAACACATGAAAAGATGTTCCACATCATTAACCATTACAGAAATGCGAATTAAAACCACAACAAAATATCACTACATACTTATTAGAGTGGCTAAAATAAAAGAATAGTGACAATACCAAATGTTGGTGAAAAACGTGAACAAACGATCGTTTATGTACTGCTAATGGGTGCAGCCACTCTGGAAAACAGTTTGGCAGTTTCTTAAAAAGCTAAATATGCAACTACTATATGACTAGCAATTGTACTCCTGGGCATTTATCCCAAAGAAATGAAAACTTATGTTCACTCAAAATCTGTACACAAATGTTCATAGCAGCTTTAGGAGTCAAAAAACTGGAATCAGTCCAGATAGCCTTTAATAGATGAATGGTTAACAAACTGGTACGTACATACCTTGGAATACTACTCAGTAGCAAAAAGGAATGAACTACTCATACGTGCAAAAACTTGAATGAATCTCTAGGAGGTTATGTGGAGTGGAAAAGCCAATCCCCAAAGGTTATATACTGTATTATTTCTTTATATAACATTTTTGAAATGACAAAATTTTAGACATGGAGGACAGATTGGTGGTTACCAGGGACTAGGGATCGGGAGGGGTGGAGGAGCGGGATGCAGGTTGGTGTGGTTATAAAAGGGCAGCACCAAGGATCCTTGTGATGTTTGGTCAGTATCTCGACTGTGGTGGTGGATACACAAACCCACACAGGTGATAAAATTGTATAGAACTTAGTACATACACAAATCAGAATAAATAAAACTAGGGGAATCTGAATAAGATAGGTAGATTGTATCAATGTCCATGTCCAGGTTGTGATATTATACTACAGTTTTGCAAAATGTTACTGTTATGGATTGAATTATGTTCCCCAAAAATATGCGTTGTAAATCCTAACCTCTATGCCTGTGATTATAATCCCATTGGGAATGGGTTGTCTTTGTTATGTTAATAAGACAGGATTAGTATAGGGTGTATCTTGAGTTAATCTCTTCTGAGATATAAAAGAGATTAAACAAGCACATGGAGAGTAGAGATGGGGGAAGATTAATGCCAAGCCGCATGAAGATTGCCCAGGAGCAGAAGCTCAGAAGACACAAGGACCTTCCTTCAAAGCCGACAGAGAGAGAAAGCCTTCCCCTAGAGTCGGCATCCTCAGTTCAGACTTTTAGCCTCCTAAACTGTGAGAAAATAAATTTGTTTTTTAAAGCTACTTCCTTATGGTATTTCTGTTATAGCAACACTAGATAACTCAGTTACCATTGGGGGAAACTGGGCAAAGTGTAGAAGGGATTGCTTTGTATTATTTTTTACAACAGCAATTGAATCTGCAATCATCTCAATAAAAATTTCAATTAAAAAAAACATGGGGCCTGCAACAAGTTCCAATTGACCCCCTAAATTTCTTTCACATTTTTATCTTCAGCTGCAGACTTGCACACAGCCCTGAAATCTGGACATTTTCTCGTAGGAGGCAGCTCTGACTGTGGAAACTCACTATTCTTACAGTGGCAGGATAATCTATTGACTCCCACTGATTCGAGTTTTGTTCTAACAACTGTGGGAGCCTGGTGAGAAGCGTGGTCATTTCCTCTCCACTCAGTCAGTTGTGAGTTTTCTTGCCCCTGAGAATTATCAACTGCATCTTTGTTTCTAAACCATCCAGGCCTCTTTTCCACTGAGGTGGCAAAACCCATGGTCCCTGAGCAGGTGGGGCTAGGGCTGGGATTCCAGCTAAAGAGAACTTATAGCAGAGGAGGTTTCCTGGAAGAGGGCAGACTCTATGTGTGGGAGGGCTGAGAGCCGCTGTGGAGGCTGGGGAGTCTGTAGTCAGTGAGGTGCTGAGAAAAGAGTCTATGTGGCAGGCTGTGGCATGGGGCGGCACTGTAAATAAAGGGTCGGCCCCCAATCATGAGCTCCTGGGACTCTTGTCTGGCCTTAGAAATAAACAAGACCAGGATCACATTTTCCAAGAGTCAGGCCGGTGAAGGCTAGAAACAGATTAATCTGGTTCAGAAGAAAACAAAACAAAACAGAATCCTGGGAATTTTCTTGCACCTGAATGTCATAGACAATTTTTTTTTTACCCGCCCCAAACTAAAGTGGATGCCACATCTTGGCAAGGTTTTCAATAACAGTAACTGAAATTAGCCAGCTGAAACCTGGTACTTCTCAGCTAATGAAAAAATAAAATGTGGACCTTCCCTGAGCAGTCCCGTTAATTAAAACAGCTTTAGGCCTGGAAAGAGCCACGAGACCCCGTATTTATATATCCTGAGCCCAAGCCACGCAGATCCTGCTGCTTGGGGCTGCTGATAATGCCAATAAACACTATGCAGCAAGTCGTCTGTTCTGTCAGCAGCCAAAACATGTCCCCTACTCTGGTCCTGGGGCATGGGTTTAACAGATTGAGAGGACGTTCTGATCTCTGGGATGAGAGCTGCCACTGATGGCTACCCAAACACCCAGCACAAAGCCCAGGGGTTGCCTCTGCCCCTACACCACCAAAGCCCCATCACCCTCGAAGGAGGGTAGCCCCAGATGGGCAGTCTGGTGCTGTGTTTGGGCCTGGCTTGTTGGGCTGTGGCTGGGCAGCCCTTCCAACCAAGAATACTAAGGAAGTTTAGATCCTGCAGCATAACAGACTCCAGTGCCCTGCTCTGGGCCTGGGAAAGCAATTCTTGGCAAGACCAGATAGCTGATCAAGTTGGATCTGCGGAGAGGCTGGGAAGCAAGAAGCTGTCGTGGGCAAAGCAAATTCTAGGAGCCCCTCCAGGTGTCCCTATTGGCCCTCCTCCACCCTGTTCTTGCCCAGGAGGCTGACCTGAGTGCACTCACACTGGGCTCCCTTCCCTCTGGCCACCGGGGAGCCCTGGGAGGAGATAGGAGTTGGGAGAAGATGTTTCTTCTTCTAACTCCCTCTCAGGCTAGCCCCCACCTGGCTGTGTCTCTCCACCCAGGGTCACTTGTCTTGGGGTTAGCCCTCTCCACATGACTCTCTCTTCTTCTGGGTTTGCGAGCCATGACTTCCCCTTGTCCCCTGGGATCCAGTACTGATCAATTGGCTGCTACTAACCCATGAGGAGACTTCCTTTCTTTGAGACCTCCATACTTACTCCTTTGAAAGCAGACCCTCCTGAGTTCTCCTGTTTTGAGTGTGCAGACTTTTACTGTTGGGACCCTGACTAAAGCCCTTCTTGTCTCCAGGCCTGGAAGCATTGGAGGACCTGGAGGCCTTACATCCCTCTCCTGCTCTCTGGGAGCCTGTTCTAGCCACTCTTAACCATCTCTGCCATCACTCCTCTCTAGTTCTTCCTGGGCAGCCATGTGGGCGGCTACTCAACCACTTCCTGCTTTACTTCCCTGATCAGAGGAGGCTTCCTACCCACTCCTAAGCCCTTGGTCTTTGAGGCTGGTCGTGGGCTGGACCATGGCCTTTTGTAGCATCAAGGAATAGGAGCTTGAGGTCAGTCGTCAGCAAAATTCAAGGCTTACTTTGTCGGCTCTGGAAGCCCTCTCTCTCTCCATAGCCACCCACTCTGCCTGGACCCTGCCCTTACTCTATGTGCTGGAAAGGGAATGGGGGCAATAATGCCCAGCATGGCACCTGCTCCTCCCTATCCTGTCTGTAGGGTGAAGATCTGCCGTTTCAGGGAAGAGGGACCAGGCCTCATGCCTGACTCTGGGGCAGGCTGAATCCAGATGTTGGTTCAGTTGTGGAAGGGCTGGGGATGATGTTCTGGGGCTTGGGAGAAGTAGGAATTAGCTCAGCCACCACAGCTGCTCCCAAGGCTGCCTCATACCTGACACCGCTGCAGAAACACTGCTGGAGGCTGGGGCTTGGCTGCAAGGCGGTATTCTCGAGCACTTTCACTCTTGAATTGGCCTCGGTAGTGCCCATAGAAGCCGTTGTTGTGCTGTAACAAGGCTAGTATGAGGGTGAAGCCCACCCAAACCCCCACCCTGGGTCCCAGACCTCAGGGCCCCCCGCTGAGGGCTCCAGGGAACCCAGGCCAGAAGGCCCTCCTGGGAGGTCCTGATGAAATGGAAAGAATCTGAGGAAGATGGACGCCTCAGGAAAGGGGCCAGTAGAGAGGCATCGCCATGCATGGTTGGAACAGTTAGCTGTGCTGATCCATCTGGGAGGGCTGTGTGTGTGCCTGTGTGTGGGGAACGGATATCATTCATTCATTCATCTTTAATGAGGACCTACTATGTGCTAGGGTCGCTATGAGTCAGAATTTACTCAATGACAATAGGATTGGTTTTGGTTTTGATGTGCTAAGGAGACAGCAGTGAAAAGACAGAAAGGAGATCCTGGCCCCTCCAAACCTTCCTTCTGGTGGGGAAGTCTGACACAGCAAAGAGGGTCAGGGAAGAAATAACCTGGTGACTGGATAAGGAGAGACAGGGAACAGGGACAGCCCCTCAAGACATGACAACAGGGGTGAGACCTGAAGGTGAGAAGGAGTTGCCACATGAAGAGCAGCAGAAGAACATTCTTTGTGACAGGAAGTGCATGGGAAAAGGCTCAAAGTCCAGAAAGAGAGGCGAGTTAGAAGAACAAAAAAGAGGCCCCGTGACTAAAACATTGTGAACAATCTGGGAAGAGATGTAAGATGACGTCAGGGAGAGGCAGGGTCTAGGCTGGGTCAGGAATGGATTCTCTTTTAAGAGCAAGGAAAGCCTTTTCAACAGTGGAAGGAACTGGATAGTCTCTGAGTTGGGGTGACTCAGAGCACTGAGCAGAGTTCTGAGGGCAGGGCCACTGTCCAATGGCATGGTCCTCCCTTGAGAGTCTGAAAGGAGGTCCCCTTTGTTGTCCTTCCCCCAATGCTAATAGTGGGTTAAAGATCTCAGGAAAGCAATCCTGTGTTTTTAAAACTGTGCAGCCATACTCTACCTGTACCCGTTGCCATCGAGTCGATTCTAACTCATAGCGACCCTATAGGACAGAGTAGAACTGCCCCAAAGGGTTTCCAAGGAGCACCTCATGGATTAGAACTGCTCATCTTTTGGTTAGCAGCCGTAGCTCTTAACCACTACGCCACCAGGGAGTTGGAATCGACTCAACAGCAATGGGTGCAATCATACCGCAAGACATATAAATGGTCAAATGGAGACATCTTCTGCATCTATTGACAAGGCTGTTAACACCCATTTGCCAAACATGCTGCTATTGTAGGGTATTATGGATTGAATTGTGTCCCCCAAAAATGTGTATTAATTTGGCTAGGCCATGATTCTCAGTACTGTGTGATTGTCCACCATTTTGTCATCTGATGTGATTTTTCTTTGTGTTGTAAATCCTATCTCTATGATGTTAATGAGTTGGGATTAGCGGCAGTTAATGAGGCAGGACTCAGTCTACAAGATTAGTTGTGTCTTACGTCAATCTCTTTTGAGATACAAAAGAGAGAAGCAAGCAGAGAGACACAGGGACCTCATTACCACCAAACAAGAAGAGCCAGGAGCATGAGTCCTTTGGACCCAGGGTCCCTGCACTGAGAAGCTCCTCAGCTGGGGAAGATTGATCACAAGGACCTTCCCCGAGAGCTGACAGAGAGGGAAAGCCTTCCCCTGGAGCTGGCACCCTGAATTTGGACTTCTAGCCTCCTAAACTGTGAGAGAATAAATTGCTGTTTGTTAAAGCCATCCACTTGTGGTATTTCTGTTATAGTAGCACTAGGTAACTAAGACATAGGGCAAGAGGGGCACCCTCCGAAACTGGAGCACCCAGGCAAAGGATGAACTTTCCAAATGAAGGTATCAACAGGGGATACCTTCTAGAAAGAATTTCAGAGAAAGGCATAGCAAAAGACAGGGGATTCCAAGAAGACTGTGTAGATGTCGTTAGGCAGACAGCCTGTGGAGAACCATGTCTGACCAGGGAACACCTATGGCCCAACCTGAATGCTCCCTGGAAAGGATAGGTATGTCTGATCCTCCAGAATTATAGTCCTGAGCAAAGGAACCCTCTCCCAAGCCTGGCCTCTGGCCATCACAGTGGGCTCCTCAACAGGACTCAAAAACCCCATGCCAGTTCCTCCTACTGAGGGCTTGAGTTGCCCTACTTGTCTGTCCATCCCTCTACTATCTGTCGAGCACTCCTTGGTCTCTGTTCAGTTTAGTTCAATAGTATTTACTCTACTGTGTGTCAGGCACAGCTCTTACACAAGAAATACAGATAGAAGAATACATTGCCTTTGCCTTCAAGGCATTTCCAGACTTGAGATCAGCCAAGCTTCGGAAGTTTGAGGGGATCAAGCAAACGACAGAGAGTAAATGAGGTGGCTAGAGGACTAGGAGGTTCGGCTAGCTAGCAGGACACCAAAAAATATGGAGTGGAGTGGTGGTGTCAGGAAGGATAGGAACCCTCCAGGTGTGACCTCAGGACAGCAAAGGGGGAAGTGGGCAGCCGAGTCCTCTACCAGGCTGAATGCTAGAAGAAAGTCTTTCCATTTCCTGCTCTTGACTCACTCAAATTTCAGGCACAGCCCCAGGGCCAGGATTAACTGGAAGGTGCATTCTTACCCAGGAGCCTACTAAAGCACTTTGCATCTTCCAGGGAAGAGAGTAGAAAAAGCAAACTTTCCTCTTGTCTTTTTAAGGCTACATCTGAGATAGAGACTCTCAGGAGGTCAACTTATTGTTGCTTAGTGACAAGTGGAGGTCGTGACTGCACAATGCTGCTGATTGTTGAGCCAACGCCCGGCCCACTGTCTCTTTGTGCTTGCTGCTCTGTTTCTACTTTAGGGGAGAAATCTGTTCCTTGGCATTAACAGCCCAGGAGAGCCCTTACATATAGAAAGATTTAAGGCTTCACAGTGGTGTCTGATGGACCTGCAGCCAATGAAATATTACAGAGCCCTTTAAAGGTGAATCCTGCATTTTTAAAACCGTGCAGCCATACGACCAGAGATGTAAATTTAGAAAGTGTTCCACGGAGTCAGAAGAAGTGTTCAAGGGATTGGTGGCTCTTAAGATAAAATTGCTACTTAATATAAGCATCTGCCAACTTCTCTCTTAGGAGTTTCTGGTAACTGGGAATGCTAATCATGGCAGGCAAACATTAGAAGGGCCTGAGTGAATGAGAGCATAACAAAGGGGTGGTGGCTAAGGAGGAGCACACAACGATTTGACATCAGCTTCCATTCCAAGCTATGCTTGGGCAGTTATTGTACCTTTCTCTTTCTTTACAAATGAAAGTCTACCCCAGTGTAATTACTCTGGAGAGCCCCCCACACATACACTCATAGGCCAAAAAGGTTCATTGCAGCATCTATATAGGGGAAAAACTGGAAGGCGCCTGAATGTTTACCAATAAGACAATGAAGAAATTGGGCTATAGTCACACAACGAAATACGCTAGGAATAATACTACGAATATTACTATGAATCAGCTACAGAAACTTGAATCTGCAGAGATAAATCTTAAAGATATTGAGTCAAAAAATCAAGTTGTAGCAGGATGCACAAAATATACCATTTATAAAATGACACAAACATGTAAAAACAATGTTATATATTGTTTATGGATACAAACAATGAACTAAAAGTATAAAGCATGCATAGGAATAATAAGCACCAAATTCAGGATAGAAGTCACCTGGTGAGGGGAGCAAGGGGAATAGTATCACAGTTGAGCTTCAACTCTAACTGTAATTTTTTTTTTTTTTATTGTGGTAAAAAAACATATAGCAAACTTTTCCACAGTGGCTATACCATTTTACTATCCTACCAGCAGTGGATGAGGGTCCCAATTTCTCCACATCCTCACCAACAATTGTTTTTTCCCAATTTCTAATCATGCTGTTGTTGTTGTTAGGTGCTGTTGAGTCGATTTCAACTCATAGCAACCCCATGTGACAGAACAGAATTGCCCCATAGGGTTTTTTAGGCTGTAGTCTTTACAGGAACAGATTACCAGGTCTTTCTCCCTTGGAGCCACTGGGTGGGTTCAAACTGCAAACCTTTAGGTTTGTAGCCCATCACAAACCACTTGTGCCACCCAAGGACCTATAGCCATCCTAGCAGGGGTGAAATGGTATCTTACTGTGGTTTTGATTTGCATGTAATTTTTTTTTAAGTTTTATTTAGGTATACATTTTGATGTACATATACACTCATGAAATATCACCACAATCAAGATAACATATCCACCCAACATATCCATCACCCCCAAGTTTCCTCCTGTTTCTCTTTAATCTTTCCCTATGGCACTAATCCACCTCTGGTAACCATTGATTTGTTCTCTCTCACTATAGTTTGTATTTTTTAGAATTTTATATAAATGGAATCATACGGTATGTATTCTTTTGGAGTTGACTTCTTTCACTCAGCATAATTATTTTGAGATTTATCCATGTTGTTATATCTATCATTCACTGCTTTTTATTGTCGAGAAATATTCTATTTGGGTATACCACATCGCTCCTCCTGGTCTTTTGAATCCACACACCAGTCAGGTTTTTGTCCAAAAGGTCAGCAGTTCAAATCCTCCATCTGCTCCTGGGAAACCCTGTGGAGCAGTTCTACTCTGTCCTATAGGGTCACTATGAGTTGGAATCGATTTGATAGCAACAGGTTTGGTTTAGTTTTGGTTACTGCACTGAAACTGCTCTGGCCAAAACAATACAAAATGCCAGGTGCTGTGGAGTCCATTCTGACTCATGGCGACCCCATGTATGTCAGAGTAGAACTGCTCCATGAGGTTCTCAATGGCTGATTTTTCTGAAGTAGATAGCAGGCCTTTCTCCCGAGGCACCTCTGGGTGAACTAGAACCTCCAACCTTTCAGTTAGCAACCCAGTGCTGTTAGCCTTTTGCTCAATCCAGAGACTCTGCTCCTGCCACGGCCACCAATAATTTTCACTCCTCATCCGCCTTGATACATCAGCAACATTTTTTTCCCATACAAAAATTCATACATACATTGTTACATGACTCTAATTGCTCTCCCCACACTGTGACAGCACATTCCTCCTTTCCACCCGTGATTCCGCATGTCCATTCAACCAGCTCCTAACCCTCTCTGCCTTCCTATCTCACCTATGAAAAGAAGCTGCCCGTTTAGTCTCTTGCATCTACTTGAGCTAAGAGGCACACACCTCACGTGTATCACTTTATGTCCCACAGTCCAGTCCAATCCCTGTCTGAAGAGTTGGCCTCCGAAGTTGTTTTAGTTCTGGGCTGATAGAGAATCCGGGGGCTATGCTTTCCAGGGTTCCTCCAGTCTGTCAGACCATTAAGTATGGTCTTCTTATAGAATTTGAGTTCTGCACCCCACCTTTCTCCTGCTCCATCTGGGACTCTCTGTTGTGTTCCCTGTCAGGGAGGTCACTGGTGGTAGCCAGGCACCATCTAGTTCTTCTGGTCTCAGGCTGATGAAGTCTCTGGCTTATGTGGCCCTTTCTGTCTCTTGGGCTACTACTTTCCTTGTGTCTTTGGTGTTCTTCATTCTCCTTTACTCCAGGTGGTTGGGACAAATTGATACATCTTAGATGGCCGCTTACAAGCTGATATTTTTTTTAAAAAAATTATATTTTACTGTGTTTTCGGTGAAGGTTTATACAGAGTTTAGGTTCTCATAATTTCTACACAAATGTTCAGTGACATTGGTCACATTCTTCACAATTTGTGAACATTCTCAATACTTCTGTTCTGTTTCCATTAATCTAGTTTCCCTGCCCCTTTACATTCTTATCTTTGTTTTAGGTAATTGTTGACCATTTGGTCTCATATAGGTGACCTCAGGGGTGCGTTTCGGTTCAAGGTTTAAAGACTATCTCAGGGAATAGTCTTAGGGAGTTCTATAGTCTCAACTGGTCCAGTAAGTTTTGTTTTTAGGAATTTGATGTTCTGTTTTACATTTTTCTCCCATTCCATCAGGGTCCATCTATTGTAGCCCTGATCAGAATGGTTGGTAGTGGTAGCCGGACACCATCTATTTCTTCTGGTCTCAGGGTAGATGAGGCCGGGGTTCATGTAGACTATTAGTCCTGTTGACTAGTTTCTTCTTTGAGTCTTTGGTTTCCTTCTTTCTCTTTTGCTCTGGATGAATAGAAAACAAATAGTTGTATCTTAGATGGCCGCTTGCAAGCTTTTAAGATCCCAGACACTACTCACCAAGCTAGAATGTAAAATATAAACTTTATGAACTTTATTATGCCAATTGACAGAGATGTCCGAGGAGACTATGGTCCTAATCCTTCAAACCCAGGAAACCAATCCCAAGAGGTATTTGGTTACGTCTAAGAAGTATATCCAACTGTGCCCCCTATGTGCTTTATTATATATATGAATATATATGCATAGTCACATACATGCATATATACATATTCATATACTTATATATACACACATATATACTCACATATACATACCTATACACATATCTGTCTACATACATACATATATACCCGCACATATATTTTTTGGTTGTTGTTGCTGTTGTTTCAAAATTACATATGCCATAGCAATTACCAAAAGGTCCTTTTTTTCTTCTGTACCTTTTAGTGACATCATTTACCTTTGTCAAGCTGTGCACACTTTACTCTCATTAGGTATTACCTTTCCCATCACCAAAAATAGCAAGTGTCTACTATTGAGAGAGTGAATCCTCCTTCCCCCTCATCTCTCATAACCACGATTGAACATTAATTTCTGTACATTTGCCTGTCATTTCATAGAACTGAGAGCATATAATATTTGTCTTTTGTGATTGACTTATTTTGCTCAATATAATGTCCTCCAGGGTCATCCACGTTCCACAATGTTTTGGGAACTCATTTTTCTTTATTGCTGAGTAGTATTCCATTGTATGTATGCACCACATTTACTTATCCATTCATCTGTTGATGGACACTTAGGTTGTTTCCATCTTTTTGCTATTGTAAATAGTGCTGCACATCAGCGACATTTGACACAGCTGATCTCCCCTTCCTCTTCGAAGCACATTCCAGGTGGCTTCTAGGGTACCATACTCTCCTGCTGTCCCTCCAGGTCCCAGGCTACCTCTTTTGCTACTTCTTCCTCATTATCAAGCCTCTAAAAGTCTCAGTGTCCTAGGGCTCAATAAAACTCTTTTCCATCTATATTCACTCCATTGGTGACCTCATCCTGTCTTATAGATCTAAAAGCCATCTGTAACTAGTAGAGGCAGAAAGTTAAACAGACCTTTCCCACCCTGGTCCCGGCCCGCTTCCCTCCCCCCCCACCCCTTGCCCTCAGGCTGTCCCAGCACCGGGCAGGCCAGGAACCTCAGACCACTTCTTGCCTCTTTTCTCTCCCCTCCGGAGCCCTGATGGCGCAGTAAGCAGGAGCTTGGCTGTTAACCAAAAGCTCGACAGTTCAAATCCACCAGCGGCTCCTTGGAAATCCTATGGGGCGGTTCTACTCTGTCCTATAGGGTCACTATGAGTCTGAATAGTCGGAATCATTCCACGGCAACTTTTTGTTTTCTCTCCACTCCAGACCTCCCACGTCCTGTCTCTCTACGACCGCAGCGCCTCTAGGCCCCGCTGTTTCCCCTGCCCTATTTCAAGCACCTGGGGCCCAGCCATGCCCTAGCTTCTGGTCCCCTGGCCCACCTCACGGACTGTTCTCACAGGCTGCAGGTCGCCACACCCGGGGTTCACGTCCCCACGT